CCCTTTCAGCTCCAGAGTTTGGTCTCTTTTAAGAAACACATTCATCTGTGCCATACACTTTTGCTTTTGATTATTGCTGTTTGCTTGTTGCTTTTAGGTTGTGCATGAGGATTAAGGCTGGATCTAAATACGTAATTCTCTCATTTTGGAAACGTTACTATCCGCCTGTGGTGGGGGCGGGGGCGGGTGATGATCAGAGAAGAGTGGGGCTCTAAGATTAGGGCTGGAACTGGACAAGTTTGGGGGCTGTGGGGTAGAATATAACGTAACCAAAGACTCTCTTTGCAAAATCCTGAGGGTGGGTGCTTACAAATTCTAGGCCCATGTGTTCTATTCTTCCTTGTACCCTTCAATTTATTTGTTAAGATTGAAATTGGGTACAAATATAATTACAAAAATACTGATTTTTAGGTTTTTGTCTGTAGGTCCTGACATAGAGGCTTCAATGTAACAGGTAGTCAAAAAATGCTTGTGAATTGAGTAAGAGCAGCCTCCTAAAGAAAACACCAGTTTTAAGAGCTGTGGCACCTTGTCATTCAGTGTTGACATAAATATCACCTCTTTGGTGGCCTTTCCTCCCCCATCCCTCACTCCCTGGCAAACTACTTGATATCCTTATTCTCCATGACATGATCTATTTTGCTTTCATTGTGGATATCGCTTATTTCTGTGTTTATATCTTCATTTATTTGCTATCTGTTTTGTCATCACCCAACTAATTTTCCACTGGAACATTCACTGTATGACGTCAGGGGACTCTGTTTGCCTGGGATCCTTTCCGTTCCTTACAGTGTAGGCTCAGCTATTGCGAGAACACCTGACACTCAGAAAGCATCCAATGAATATTTGTAAAACATGAATACACTTCAACAGTCCTGCCTTCAAGAACAGACATCTAACTGGCATGGTCACCATATAATTTATTTTTCACATTGCCACTTTTGACAATGAAAGAAGACACTGTTAGGTGCCAGGATAATAGATATAAGCTTCATAAATCTTTTTTGAATGAATTAAGAAACACAGAATACACACACCCTTAGATCACTGCAGGGCCTGACAGATATCAGGATTATGGAATGTATTTTTAAATGTATAATTACATCTGACAATTCAGGAGATCAAGACATCTAAAGATCAAAAAAGGATCCCCAAGAAGATATCCTAATAGACCCTTAGAAACTAGCTAGAGGTGATTTATAACTAGTGCTATATTGAATGCCAATGGATACTATTTCGACGACTTCCAAGAGCTTTATGTAACTTGATTTCTCCAAGTAGTTAACATTCCTTCCCCAGTCCCACTGGTACCTTAGTTCACACAGTAACTTCCTTAGGAAATCTTTGATTGCTTCTCTTTGTTTATTATTCTAAGGCCTAGAAAAGGTGAATTTAAGTTCAAACTCTAATTACCTAAAATTCTCCAATAGTGGGATTCAGATTTGGGAAAGTTTTTCTTTTGTTTGTGTTTGTCTTTCTAATAGACAAACAGGCTGCTGAGTCCACAGCACAACAGAACTGCTTGAAAAATTAAATACTTGAATATTAAACTTAAAATTAAGGGTCTTATTTCTAAAGGTAGTGTATTAGTATAACACAGAGATCTGTCATGTTTCATTGACTTGGTACAGTGGCAGAATTAGGACTGCCCGGCAAAAATAATAATAAACAGATCTGTCTCCTTTGCATTGAACACATTCTTGGGTAATGGTACCTAAGATGTGTGCATTTAGTTCGAGGGTGAGGAAAACATCCACTGGCAGTTTTGGCTGCCTTTGGGCTTTTGATCCAGTATGTGGGTTCTTCCCCTATAATGAAGAACTGCAGGGGCACTGACAGATATTAACTGAAATTCCTCCAATATGTCAGGTACACTTATGCTCAAGGAAACTGGGGAGAATTTACCCATGAAGAACCCAAACAGGGTCTTTGGCCCTTCAGACATACAGACATAACAACTGATTCACTTCTTGCATGAGAAGAGTAGTAGGAGGCAGTAGTGGGTTGATGGTAAGATGCTCCACATAAGGAAAAGTAGCACACACTCAAGGATGACTGAAATACACTGTATGAGAGCAGAGAGAGCCAATGTATCAGGGGAGGGTGATGGGCATAGAGAGGCAGGCATGGGTGAGATCCCATAGGTCCTGGTGGACCATGTTTACAGTACAGGACTTCATCCTTTCTCTACTTTTCCATGCTACCCTTCACCACTGTAAAAGAGACCCCTCCCAGAAATCCAGAAGGACGAGACTACTGTGTTTATAGCTATGGAATACCCAGGGTGAGTCACTGCTGGACTCCTCAGCAACCAGTTGTTCTGACAAAAGACATCACTAATGTGAAAACCACCTCTCATTTGTTTGAGTCTGCAGTGAACTCATCAACATACAGTATTACGTCTTTGCTGGTTTATTGTCTACTGTCCAACTACATTGTAAACTCCATGAGAAGAGGCAAGTGTGTACCTCCACCCACTGCTGCTCCCAAACACATTCAACAAAAACTGGCACATGGGTATTTGTTTAATTTATTTAAAAGTCCATAAGAAAACAACTATTCAGATTTGCATTTTAAAAATAAACTTGGGGGGTGCCTGGGTGGTTCAGTGGGTTAAAGCCTCTGCCTCTGCCTCAGGTCATGGTCCCAGGGTCCTGGGATCGAGCCCCGCATCAGGCTCTCAGCTCAGCGGGGAGCCTGCCTCTCCCTCTCTCTCTGCCTGCCTCTCTGCCTACTTGTGATCTCTGTCTGTCGAATAAATAAAATCTTTAAAAAAATAAAAAAATAAAAATACACTTAGGCTGTGACTATAATATGTGGATTTTAAGTGGGGTAAAAGGATGAGAAATGAGGTTGGGAGACAGAGTGCCCAAGTCTATAGAATAACCCTTAAAAGATCCTAGGGAGTCTCTGATGACCCTCTCCACTATTGGGAGCTACGAAGATGGAGATGGAAATTAACATACAATGTAAACACCCATGATGTGTCAGTTACTGTACTAGGTGTTTATATACTTCATATTATTTAATTCTCCAACCAAAAACACCTCCAGTATGCATGAATTCTATTTTATAGATAAAGAAGCTGAGAATCAGATTAAGTAATTTCCCTAAACATCTCCAACTTGAACCTAGATTAACCTAACGCTTAAGTGGATGCCCAACTGGAGACTATACCATGCTGCCAATCAGAATATTTGGGTGAGGAACAGTCAATCACTGAAATCTTCAGATTTTCCATTTGGTTTCCTGAGGTTCTTTACAAGCTCTCAATTGCACAGGAAATGGCATGTCACCACTGGACTTGTGACTCTCATATTTTCATTGTGAATGATGCTCTTTGCAGAAACAGTTTTCCATTTCCTTAGCCACATTTTTCCTAGTACAGATCCTGACTACTGTTTTCAGCTCTGCTCTCTCCAAAATCTGAGAGCTGAGTTCACACATGGGCCCCTTTTCCATGCTGCATCTTGCCCCAGTTCCTCAGATAATCCTAACTGAGGTAGAGAATTATCTGTAACTCCAGCGACTTGTTTGGAGGTAGCTTAGAAATGAGTCTATATTCTAGTGCCAGTAGTCCAGTCACTTCTAGAAATCTGTCCCAAATATTTTTGTTTGGCAATCAGATCCAGGTCTTGTTGTATCTTCCTCCCATTTTGATTCCATGATTCCTGCAACTTGCAATTCTTTCCTTCTCCTCTGCTTAGTGCCTAACTATACAACAAGACTTTTCCCTAGGACCCTACTCCAAATATCTGATATCTACCTTGCAATAAGCTAGAATCTTTTTCAGAACCACAGTCCTATCCTAAACTACAGGTCTGTGCTTTCCAATTATTTTCTTGAGCTCTTTTCCAGGGACAAGGTCTTGGACCTCACTTTAGTCTGGTGCTGGAGTGCTACCTATATATCCATTTGCCTAGCTTCTGAGTATCAGTTGCCTTTCCTTGCTATTGTCTATCATTTGTCCACTGAGGTCCTAGAAACTTGTGGTTTTCCTTTTCCTCCTTTTCCTCCATAGTGAACACTATTCTGAGAAGTGACTTGCCATCTAGAAACTACATTTGCTGCCTGACCGTCTTGCATTGAGCTGGAACATGGCACTAAATTTTGTATAATATGGATGGAAGGGATGTATGCTACCTCCAAAGTGGCCCATCAAACCCTGCATAGAGCCCACTGGAAGGCACCCTCCAGAGACAACTGGTTATGTTACAGTAGATCCTCCCTCAACCTGTGTTCTTGACTGACTTTTCTAAAGTCAGCCTTTTATATGAGTGGAAAAGTAGTCTCTAGTCTGGTATATTAAGCTATTTTGATTTGGGGATTTGTCTGACACGAAATTACTTACAAAAAACATACTTATTCCAAAAACTATGAAGGCCAGTATTTTTTGTTTGTTGAGTGTATGACTTTTTTTTTTTTTTTTTAAGAAGGGGTTGCTGGAGAGAGGGGGACAGAGAGAATCTTAAGCAGGCTCCAGATCCAGCACAGAGCCCTGAGATCATGACCTGAGCTAAACTCAAGATTTGGATGCTTAACTGACTGAGCTACCCACGTACCTCGAATTTATGACCTTTTGAAAAAACAGTGTCCCACTGGGCTACCAGCTCTTTTGGTGTCTGCCACGGTGGCCAGGTCAGGTTTGCAACCTCTACCTTGACAGAAAGGACTGATACAAAGCAAGTTCTATCTGTCCTCCCCTCTGGGTCAGCCTCACACTGCCTCCACCAACTGGCCAACATGCCTTATGCCCATTTGTCAAGCTATGGCATCCAGAAAGTTATTTAAAAACCAAACTGTTGGGCACCTAGTTGGCTCAGTTGGTGAAGCAACCGACTCTTGATCTCAGCTCGGGTCTTGATCTCAGGGTTGTGAGGTTCAAGCCGCATATTTGGCTCCACACTGGGCATAGAACCTAGTTTGAAAAACTAAAATTAAAATCATCATCATCATCATCCAAAGTGTTTACCGGGGACAAACATAGGGAACCCAAATACCTCCATGGCCACAGGTCTTTGAACATTCGGTCCATGCTGTCCACCCCGAGAGCTGACAGTTGACCGCACATTCCACCAGGCAGTGAAGGCTCATTCCCTGAGGCTTCTCCAAGTTACGCTGCAGATGGAAATAAAATATGATTTTAATGCAGAAATCCTATCACTGTTCTATCAAATCACCTTTCATGGGAAAAACTTTATTCTATGATAATAATCTTTCTATGTGTTTGTATGGAAATATATCTTTGTTATATAAACTGGTGGCAGTTTTAGAAAATGGTTGTCCTAACTTCACAGAATAGAAGTTTGTTGGCCCAAATTTCTTTTTAAAAAAATCCTCAGCTATAGAATAGACCTGCAGTTAGGGTACTGGGAAAGCAGACAGTTATAGGACACATCCTCGCTTAGCAAGCACAGAAGCAGGAGGAAGCCTCACTGTAATTCAGGTACCTTGCACTTCTGGATGGGCCAAGAGTACAAAGAGAGCACAAAATTAACAGTTATCTAGGCTAAAAGTAAATAAATAGATAAGAATAAAAACAGAATTAACAACCCAAATGTGCTCATTAACACATATTAGGTTGAAAACATAACCTAATACTCTAAATCACGAAAAAAAAAATGGTGGTCTAGTTTATTTTCCTCTTGTCCTTTCTTAAACCAGCATGGAGGCAAATCAATAGATTTTTTTTAATGGCCAAACTAAAAGAGATCTTCATGAAGGAAAATAAGTCATCTAAGAAACACAGAAAGGATAATGAAAAATCCTGCTACAGAAATCACAGGCTGTGTGCTTATTTAGGAAAACTCTGACATTCAACACATGTTAAATGTTAGCAATGTCCACACCAAGCTAAAATGGATGATTAACATGATTACAGGCTGCACAGGCAATAGAGAAATTACTACATAGGATCTTCAATCTATTTGAGATATATGGATATTCCAGATAGGTTAATAATTTGGGACTTCTTTTAACTAATATTCTTTAAATATTTATGGAACATATGGTATTTGAAAAGCAGAGAAACTGATTTTTCTATTACTGATTAGTTTATATTTTACTTTGTATCAAAAGAAAAGATTTATTACATACACCAAATGTAAGATTTTTAACTTATTTAGAATTGCTGTAGAATGGTGATGTATTTTTCCTAAAGCAGACAACTTTTGGAGAAACAGGTTAAATGAAATGTTAAAATCAAGCACTGACACTTGTGAACAGAGCTCTGCCTTATCTTAACCAGTTTTAGAATTTCACCAAATAGGATATCCAATTTTGGATGGCTTGGTCTCAGGGTTATTGTCTATGGCTGTCCTGTTGGTTTAGAGAGCTGTTTTTATACTACTTAATAGGAGAATACTTCAGTCAGGATAGGGGAGAAAAGTTTGGTTTTGATTTTAATTCCACTTGTGGAATTAAAATCTCCTGTGTCAGGAGAAATGGGACCAGTTTTCATTTTGCCAGTTTGTTTAGGAAGCCTCTGTGGAAGCCTGAGTTAACTGACCTTGTATTTTCAAATTATTCCAAAGACTGTGTTGATGATTCTACCAGTATGAGAGAACGTGGTCATCCTTATTTCTATTAAACTGTCCCCATAGAGATTTTAAAATGCAACTTCTTTGGAACAAGTTTGACTACAGCTTTTGCCCAAGCTCTACATAGTTTATCATAGGAAAGAAAGGAAACGTAACATTATAAAAATTCAGAACCCACTAACTGGAACTTGGCAGGGAGGCATTTTAACTTAGGTTGAGAAGAAAAATAAAACTGTGCTACTCATCTAGCAATCATTTGCTAAACAAATGAACAGCACATTCTAATAACAAGTGTCAGTGTTCATCTTATATGCAAGGCACAGTATTCATATATGCAAATGAATTACCAGCCTAATACAGAGTCCTATCTAAACACTCAAGTCACTGGATGTGAATAGTTTGTTACTAAGCAAGTACATCTATATATGTTCTTGAAAGTAGTAACAATAATTTTTTAATGAGTCCTTCTCCTCAAGGCAAAAGGACCTTTCCCAGTCATTTTTGACCAAGTTCAAACTAAGGAGGTATAACTGCCCCATACCAGTTCCCTCTTACTCTCACTGAACCGAAGCTTCAAGAAGCTTCAAGAAGGAATCAGGTTGTCTTTTATATTAAGCATCAAGGTTGCAGCCTAATACTAAGAAACACAAAGCCTCAAATGTGAAATACAAATATAGACCCATTACCTGCTCACACTGATCCACACCAACTGGCTTGCCGTCACTGCGCACACAGCTCAGAAGGCGGGTCCTGACGCCTCGCCCACAGGTGGCATTTTCACTCAGCTGGCATGTGCTCCACTCTACAGATAGAGGATCACCACACTGAATTTGAGAATTATGGTCATGCGAGCAAAGTACAACAAACCTTTGATTATTTGCATTGGTGAGGAAGGACAGTGTATATATATCTATATACATGTAACACTAAAATCATTTGCAGCTGGCTTCAGAAAGCACCTGCAATTCTTTTATTGCAAAACAAATAAGCAACCAAATAAAAGTGTATTACCTTCCTAAGTTTGCTTTCTAAAAGTAAAGAACTGAATGGTTTGTTAGAGACCATGTCCCTGTTGACTGAAGAGGATGGGAAAGACACTAACTAGGATGGTACAGGAAAACTAGTTTGGAATCCTCAGTTTGTGGGTGAAAACTGAGAGAAAAGGAACCCAGAAACAATGCTACTGTCTGATGTAACTTGAAAATATTTTCAAGGAATAAATCCAATCATTTAAACCATTTCATACTTCAGTACAGTGGCACTAAGGTGCCTCAGAAAGGAAAGAGAGGTACCTCGGGACTATATGCTTACTACAAAAAAATCTACTTTTTTCAAATTATTCTCTCATGAGGGAAGATTTTATAAATTTGAATAGTTGCATTATAAATCAGATAATGGAGTTTGAATGAATTATCCCATAATTAATCTGATTATTTTTTAAAAAGATTTATTTATTTATTTGTCAAAGAGGGGGTGGGAAAAGGGAAAGGGAGAGAAAGAGAGAGCCCACAAGCAGGTGCAGTGGCAGGGAGAGAAGTAGACTCCCTGCTGAGCAGGGAGCCCGATGTGGGGTTTGATCCCAGGACCCTGGGATCATGACCTGAGCTGAAGGCAAACACTTAACTGACTGAGGCACCCAGGTGTCCCAATTAATCTGATTCTTAAACAAAACAAAACAAAAACGAAAAAAACTCTTACTTTGGTGTAGTTACAAAGAATGCTCTTTGATGATAAACATTGAGAACCTCTTTAAATACATTTTCAGGTGCCTGGGTGGCTCGGTGGGTTAAGCCTCTGCCTTCGGCTCAGGTCATGATCTCAGGGTCCTGAGATCGAGACCCGCATCAGGATCTCTGCTTGGCAGGGAGTCTGCCTCCCCCCTCTCTCTGCCTGCTGCTCTGCCTACTTGTGATCTCTCTCTCTGTCAAATAAATAAATAAAATCTTTTTAAAAATACATTTTCAAAGCTTGATAAGTGACCTATGAGTTTAACAGGAATAGTAAACCCACGTGTAATAAAATCAGTATTTTATTTTATTTGAAGGAGAGAGAGAGAGAGAGAACACAAGCTGGCACAAGCGCTTGTGTGCAAATGGGGGAGGGGAAAAGGGAAAGGAAGAGAAGCAGTTTCTCTGCTGAGCCCAGAATCCCATGCAGGGGCCAATCTCACGACCCTAAGATCACAACCTGAGTCAAAATCAAGAGTTGGTTGCTTAACTGACTGAGCCCCCTAGGCACCCCATAAAATCAGTATTTTAAAGACATGTTCTTCCAGTATAACAAATTATACTGTATTTCTGAAAAATTACTACACAAATCAAGCATCTGAAGCACCTTTAGCTAAAGAAAAAGGACAAACACACTAAGTCATCTTTTGCCAATAAGGACAATCAAATGGGCCCCTAGAATTCCCTATAAAGTTTTCTACGTGGGAAATCTCAGTTGTGCCAGTGTGACCTTAGTGGGGAACTGGTTTCACAAGAGGCTGCTGCTTTGCCTCTGCCGGCATGTGGTGGTTTGGTGGTTAGTAATGAATTCAGTGCTGACACTTAACACGGCTCCACATGTGGTGGTATTTTGTATATCTGCTCCTGCAGGTAATGACAGGTAGCAAACCAAGGTAACTAAACAGACTGTGGTTATTAGGCACTGTGGTGCCCACACCTGAGTGGCTGAATAATGAGGGGGGATGGGATTCCCAGTCCCTCCTAAACATCCCTGTCCACTCAGGTCTACCATTTGTCCTCACTGAGACCCAGAGAGCAAAGTACATCATAAGCTTGAACTTCTTGAAATAATAAAGGCCATAGAAGAGCTCAATTCTATGACAGCATGACTACATTCCTCCCTAAATGGTAAATTATCCTCTGCTGCATATTTTTCTTGTTTTGGTTTATCATGGCTTAATTCAGCTCTATTCTGAAACTTTACCAATTCTTTCTAAGCATCTTGAAATTCATAGATTCCAGGTGGCTTTGCTGGATCTACATGCCAAGAGTGGGCATTTCTTTTGTGAAGGGACACTGGAAATGGCAAATCCTCAGCCTTTCATGCAATATGTTCTCACACTCTACTGTCAGACCTTAATCCCAAGAATGAAAAAACACACACACACATATATTCTCCCATTAGTCAATGTGTCAGTGTTCAGGGGAAATGGCATTGCTGTGGATTTCAACTGTACCTGTTAGATTGTACTGGAACTGGAAGCAATTTTCATTGAGGAGGCAAGGGCGCACCTGTGAGTCTTCAGCACATGTCCTTGAATTCAGTGAGGGTCTTAGCAGATGGCGGGTTCTTCTCTGCATTGAGTGAGGATCACATGACTGTGAAAATCAAAGGGCAGGCAGAGTTAGAATGGACCCAGAGTTAGCTGGCAAATTATATATGATTACCTGTGTATGTGTAGCCACATGTACAACAGCTACAGAGAAGAGACAACTGAGGTGTTAAACATAATATTTAGAAACTAAAACCATTTAGTGATTCACTATAAATTATTTTTTGTTTTTCCCACCTGACAGCTCTTTCTTTTTCTATGTCATAGTGATGGCTGCTTTTCTATCTTCCATGTAGAATTAGGCACACAGACACTACTTTCATCAATTTAACACTTTCTATCCTCTCAAATAGCCTGGCACATAGCAAGAGATAAGTGCATTTTGAATGTTTAAATGAATGAAAAAAGGAAGACCAAGTCCCTTTGCCCTCAGAGAGTCTAGCCCAATAGAAATAACTACACAGAACATTTTAATGAGAAAATCATTTTTAAAACCCCAAAACAGGTATATAAAGAGAATTATAAAATCATGATTGCCAATATGCCAGAACTTCCTCTTATTTGGGGGGGCCCTCTGACCCACAGGGGATGAGCCCCTACCCGTCATACTGACCTTTCCACAAAACAAATGTATAAATGTGAACCTCAAAGACCTCCTGCAACTATCACTTTGCCCATGGGTCCTCTTCTAGCTTCACTTCACATAATTCCCTTGAGCAGAGTAAACCTGTCTGCCACATTTCATCCAGCTGCTCTACCCATGGTGAACCTTCAAGCTCCCCCTACTGGAATAATCTTTCAATTGTCCTAAATCCTACCCCCCCCACCCGCCGCCCCCTTCAGAACTCTAATAAAGGCTTTATTGACCCTCCTTTTTGGAAAAAAAAAAAAAAAAATTACTTATTTAGTCAGAAAGAGAGCGAGTGAGCACAAGCAGGCAAAGTGGCAGGCAGAGGCAAAAAGAGAAGCAGGCTCCCCGATGAGCAAGGAGCCCGATGCAGGACTTGATCCCAGGACCCTGGGATCATGACCTGAGTCGAAGGCAGTGGCTTAACCAACTGAGCCACCCAAGCATCTCGACACTCCTTCTTTTAATAAAGATAAATTTTTCTCTTCCTTCCTGAGCAACTCTCTACTCGTGCTCAGGAATTACTGTATAGGATTTGTTTCTGAACACATACACATACCCATGTACTTAAACGCTGTACCTGTCCTTATGATATTGCCATTCTTTCTTTATTACCCTGGCTCCTTCCTTTCTTTATAAACTCTTTGAGGGTAATGATAGATCATGGTTTCTACTTCCCATGTCAATCTCTAAAAATACTGGTATGTATTTTACATAGTAATTGTTCACTAAATACCATTAAGTAGGTCATAACAACATAATTCCAGACCCCAAATCTAAGAGGCAATAGATACTTAAACCACAGGAGAAATAAAAGCCTCTGAATTAAGGTCACTAAAGTCATAATTTCTATATTGGGATATTTTATTTATTTTTATTCCTTTTAGTTTTCAGATATTATAGCAAGAACACAACCTGTTAACTGGATCTTGGTTGTTAATCAAAATGATAATATTGGATTGCACTGAAATATGTAAAAAATGCCACAAAATTTTCTGCTAATTTTAAATGTTTAGTAGAGCCACTGAAACAGATTTTTTATGCATGTGACTTTATAGTTGGATAATCTGTCAATATTCGTAGACTAATTTTACATTTTAATTGTATCTAATTGTCTTTAGATGGGCCAGTGAAACCTGGTGATTATAGTTAATTTTCTGCAAATGAATCCCATGCTAAATCCTTACCAATAATTTATTATTAGTTCACCAATTAGTTTGATTGTTTGTTCTCATAAGAAGGAATAAGAACTTAAATGATTTGCCAATGAAAGAAAAATGAAGGTATCTAGGTAGATATCCCTGATTAGTGTTCTACTGATTTTCTACTTTAAAAAAAAAAAAAAATCAACTGATGTTGGAACCAAATGAATAAATGTTAGGATTTATGTACCTGCTTATTCTAAGCCACCAAATAAAGCAAAAATAAAATAACACATGCACACATCAAATAATTATGTCACCTTGAACAATTTACTTATGTAGTCTAAATCTTAGCTCCTCATCTAAACCTGAGTGAAAAGAGGTCATGAATGTAACCTGATGAGATTTGGGCATTTCCTCCCTTAGACCTCATAGTCTATTAGTCTCTAATTCTGCTGGATGTGGTTTTAAAATATTCAGTTGGGGGCACCTGGGTGGTTCAGTCAGTTAAGCATCTGCCTTTGGCTTGGGTCATGATCCCAGAGTCCTGGGATCAAGTCCTGGGATCAAGTCCTGCGTCAGGCTCCCTGTTCACCGGGGAGTCTGCTTCTCCCTCTCCCTGTGCCCCCCCCACCCTGCTCTGGCTTGTGCTCTCTTTCTCTCTCTAATAAATATTTTAAAAATATTCAATTGAGCATAATCATTCACAATCATGTAGACCTTGGTAATTACTTTCTAAAATAAATATACTGAAAACCAACACTGCAGCTAACTCTTCTACAAATTTTCTATCCACAGAAATAGGGGAAAGTGTGGATGACTGGAGTCCACAAACACAATCCAATCTAATCTTAGGCAATATTTTTATGTTCCACTTTTTAAAAAAAATGCCCTAGCAACTGCTAACAAGTGATGGTTAGGTTAGTGTTTTCTCCTTATTTCTTTCTATTGGCAGTTTATAGGAAGTACATAAAATAATGACTTGGTCACAAGGAAGAAGGGAGTGGAGCTAAATAAAAAAAGAATGGTAAAGGAGGCTTATGTCTGGATGATTTCTTTATTGGATCAAGACTCCTCAAATACAAACCTGGATCTCCTCTCCTCTAGGGTATTTATATAAAGACATATTGTCAATTTCCTAAATGAAGTGAGAAAGTGATGTGTGGATAACTAACCCGAAGTCAACTTTGGATCAATTTCAGTGTAAAGATCAAGGTTATATAGCTAAAGTTTATTTGCTAGTGAAAGAGATGACCAATAAGAACCAGTTAGTCTTTGGTAAATAAGCCCCCTTTATGAGACTAGATTTTCTAACTTACTACCTTTGAAAACCAGCACTTACCTTAAAGTTCAGTCCTTTCTTAAGACATTGTGCTTTCATACCTTTTGTTCTCTCCAACAATAGGGCCTTTACCCTTGGACCTAACCTGAATACTGGTATTCAACTGTCAAAATTAAATCAGATATCCCACCTGAGAACCTTCAGTGACTCCCTTGCACCCATAAAAATGGAATATCGTCATTTAGTCCACATTTCCCATTGCACTTGTACATGTATCAATGTGTGTGCATTCTTTCCCATAGGCTATTTGAAGAGAGTCCATGTCTTAATTTTCTGGGACACTTGTTCCAAGTTTGGCATAAAGAATGTAAATAATAAATACTTGCTATGTGGGATAATTTGGTTCTTCTGAGGCAATAAGATGATATTTCTAAGCTATCATTAGTAGACAAATGGTCAATCCTGGACTATGATCATATTGCCAAAATGTAAGGATTGCCCCATATATCTGTATATCTGATAAAGAGAATGTAGTATTTTTTCTAATTCTCACACATTTTCTATAAATTCTAGATGATAATTCACAAAATAATAGCATCAATCATTAACTTAATAAAACATATCAATAAATGAGTTTTTATTTACCCAGATAAAGGATGACAGTTAATCTAGATATTTTTTTTTTTTTAATTTGATAGACAGAGATTACAAGTAGTCAGAGAGGCAGGCAGGAGGGAGAGGAGGAAGCAGGTTCCCCGCTAAGCAGAGAGCCCGATAAGGGGCTCGATCCCAGGACCCTGGGATCATGACATGAGCCGAAGGCAGAGGCTCTAACCCACTGAGCCACTCAGGCACCCCTAATCTAGATATTTTAAAGAAACCCAAATACAAATGTATAATTTGACATTTTTCTAATACTTAGTTGCTAACAAACACCATTTAATAAAACCGCACATAAACCCAGGTATATGTGCATTTTAGTCACTCAGCATGCTTCCTGTCTGGAGATCAGCATAATTTCAAGGTCTGGCCTTGTCAACTCCCACAAGATACAGAAAATGCATACTTTTTGATGTTAGAGAATTTATTTGATCATTCTGAGATAGTCTCTCCTTCATTTCGTTGATTAGTCCCACTGAGAGAAGCTAGAAGCCAATTTTCTCCACATCTCTCATAAGGCAAATATGGATATATAATGCCGTTGACTTTTCTTATTTGGAAAAATGGTGTAAAAAAGATTTGCAAGATACCATTACAGTGCTTTGTAAGAAAATTTTTAATAAAATTAAATTCTGATTCTCTTTTTCCACATCCTTACCAACACTTGTTTGTGTTTTTGATTCTAGCCATTCTGACAGGTGTGAAGTAATACTGCATTGTGGTTTTGATTTGCATTTCCCTCATGCTTAGTGATGTTGAGAATATTTTTATGTGTCTATTGGCCGTTTGTATGTCTTCTTTGGAAAAATGTCTATTTATGTCTTGTGTCTGTTCTTTTGATTTTCCATTTTATTTTTTTATTATGTTTAGTTAGTCACTGTACAGTACATAATTAGCCCTTGATGCAGTGTTCAGTGATTCATTGGTTAAGTATAACACCCAGTGCTCATCACAGCATGTGCCCTCCTCAATACCCATCACCCTGTTACCACCTCCCACCACTCTCCTCCCCTCTGAAATCCCCAGATTGTTTTTCAGGGTCCATAGTTTCTCATGGTTCATCTCCCTCTATGATTTCTCCCCCTTTGGATTTTCCTCTCTTCCCCTATGGTCCTCTGTGCTATTGCTTGTGTTCCACATATGAGTGAAATCATATGATAATTGTCTATCTCTGTTTGACTTACTTAACATAATCCCCGTCACTTCCATCCATGTTGATGCAAATGGTGGGTAGTCACCATTTCTGATGGTTGGGATGGAATAATATTCCATTGTGTATATGTACCACATCTTCTTAATCCATTCATCTGTCGAAGGGCATCTAGGCTCCTTCC